TGAGTTAATGAATGAGTGAATTAATAGATAAATGATTGAACTGATGAATGAACGGATGAATGCATAACAAAAACAACATATGAACGAACGAACAAATGAACAAACAAATGAAGTAGTTTCAAAGAATATACTTTGGAGATAATTTAGAGTTATATAAAGTTATATAGAGTTATATAAAGTTATATAGAGTTATATAAAGTTATATAGAGTTATATAAAGTTATATAGAGTTATATAGAGTTATATAAAGTTATATAGAGTTATATAAAGTTGTGTAGGGTTATATAAAGTTATATATAGAGTTATATAAAGTTGTATAGAGTTATATAGAGTTATATAAAATTGTATAGAGTTATATAGAATTAAATATCGATCGATCAATCAATAAGTTAAGCGCTATTTCCGCGATGTTCAACAGCGCTCCTCAATGAATTTTGAAAACAGATGGGTCTTGAGATCCGCTCTGAACTTCGTAAGTGATGGAGAAGTAGTCAGAGAAGTAGGTAGAGAGTTCCAGAGAAAAGGGCCAGAAAAGGCAAAAGTAGATTTAGCAGAAAGAGTGTTTCACACGAGTTAAGAAGAACTAACAAAATAATGGTTTAATGGGAAGAAACTAGTAAGTTATTGGAACAAAAAATTAACCGTTTGTACAGCCAAGAAAAGAATGAAATAAATAGAGAGAGAGAGAGAGAGAGAGAGAGAAAGAGAGAGAGAGAGAGAGAGACACACACATACCTCATTAACATTCTTGCTTATGATATAGTTCAACTTTGTGGCCTCGAAATAGCGTTTACTTGCGGCGCCATTAAGAATAACATCGCGAAAGGCAGAAAATAAAATATAGGACGACGATGACGATGAAGTCGCTGCTGGTGCTCCTGACGACTGTTGATTTCCGACTGATATAATGTGGATGTTTTTTGTCGGTATTTTCAAATGTTTCGAAAGGAGGTTGGAGAAGGCGTTCAGTCGGTTATTTGGGATCTTTGGTTCTTCCCCTTCCGGTGATGTTGCTGATATTAAATCACGTGACGTCATTCCTGTGTGTTCATTCATCATTAATTCATACATTAATTCACCCATCCATTCATTTAAAAGCGGTTGGTTGACTCTTAGCCAATTGCCATGATTTTGTTGACGTTACAAGATATTCACTCAATCATTCAATTCTATATTCATTCAGTCTTCATTCGTTCAATCAATCAATCAATCAATCAATCAATCAATCAATCAATCAATCAATCAATCAATCAATCAATCAATCACTCATTCATTCATTTATTCATTCATTCATTCACTTCTTTGGAAACATTCTTCCAAAAAAAAAATTTCAAAAAACCTTTAACAATCACGGACGCGATTCTCCAATCATCACCACCACCACCACTATCATCATCATCATCATCACCAGAGCATCTGACGTCACTATCTATGACGTCGACGATCACGTGACTGACGACCTCAGTGGACCACGACCTGTCGTGAACCTTGACCTTCAGTTCGTAACTACCTTCCACTATGTTGCCTAACTTGTAGAGCATACCGGTTTGAGAGTTTACCCTATAATAATAATAATAATAATGATAATAATAACAAAAATAATAATAATATTTATTATTTATATTATTGTAACATTATTGCTACTATTACTACTACTATTTCTGCTGCAATTATTTACACTACTGCTGCTACTACTACTACTACTACTACTACTACTACTACTACTACTACTACTACTACTACTACTACTACTGCTAATAATAATAATTATTATAATTAATTTATTATAATTAATTGAAAATTAATAAAATATAATAATGATAAAATATAAAAAATAAAAATAAGTTTAATTGAAAATTATTTTCTTTTTTTCTCGACTGGCTAAACAGGCCCTCGTGGTCAGTCATGTAATAAATAAATAAATAAATAAACAAACAGATAAATAAACAAATAAATAATAAAATTATTAATTAAATAAATAATTAATTATGAATAAATTATGACAAACAAACTTGAAGCGGTTGTAGTGGGGCTCGTATTCAACGAATGTGTAGGTCTTATCACCCCTGTCCCAGTCATCTGGGTCAGCAGCATACACGTACCCCAACTCGATTTCATCGTCATCATCGTCGTTATTATTATTACTGTTGTTGTTGTTGTGGTTATTATTATTGTTGTTGATGTTGTTGAGATTTTTCAAACCTGTAAATTCGGAATGGAGGTATGTACATTGGGGTGAGTCAAAAAAATTTTTTTTTAGTAAACGAATTCTAGTAGCGAAATTATGTTGTAATAAGACATCTTATTGAACCATCTAAAAGAGTATTGAATTATTTTGAGTGGAAGAGCATATTGTGATTATGGCTTCTACTACTACTGCTCATTCATTCATTTACTCAGATTCATTCGTTCGTTCGTTCATTCACTCAATCGTTCATTCATTTATGAATACTTTTATCCATCCATCCAACCATCCAAAAATGACCTTCACCTCTGCACTGAATGGCCGTGACCCTTTTAGTGCCAGCTGAATGCACGTTATCGTTGACATCACCGATGACGATAGTCAGTGAGTTAGTGGCCGACAGTGGCACATCTCCACTGTCCCTTATGACGATGGGGATGACGTATTGCTTCTGCTGCTCCCTGTCGAACGACTTCAAACTGGTCACTAATCCGGATCCGAATCCGGCTGGCCCCCCGTCTGCGTGCACGAGGTAGAAGTTGGTTGCGGATTATTATTTGTGGTGTATTTGTTTGTGATGTATGTTGTTGTTGATGATGTTGATGTTGTTGTTGATGTTGTTGTTGAAGTTGTTAATGTTATTGTAAATGTTGATATTGTTGTTGATGTTGTTGTTGAAGTTGGTTCTTTTTTACGTGTGCTAGTGACTTTTTCTTTCAAAATTAATAACAATTTTAAAGTTCGATCGTTCATTTGTTCGTTTATTTATTTATTGATTATTCGCTCAATCAATCACTCATTGGTTCATCTATTCATTCATTCATTCATTCATTCATTCATTCATTCATTCATACATTCATTCGTTCATGTCTCTTTCTTCTCAGAATAATAGTGTTGCAAGAAGTTCTTACTTTCATATACGTAGAATAAAAAAACTTTTGCCTTTTCTTGATGATCCTACTCTTCTCCTTCTTGTTACTTCGTTGGTCTTATCTAGGATTGTTTATTGTAACTCGTTCTACTATGGTCTTCCTGACTCTATACTCTATCCTTTAAGTAAAGCTTTTAACTCTGCTGCTCGTCTAGTTGCTCGTGCCCCTTTCTTTTCTCATATATCTCCATATCTTGTTCTCTTGCACTGGCTACCTATAAAATATAGAATAATTTTTAAAATTTGCACGTTCATGTATAAGTCTCAATCTAAATTATTTCCTAAGTATTTATCAGATATATTAATTAAACCTAAACGCCCCGGTTTACGATCGTCTTCTTGTTCTCGCTTCTTCTTAACTCGTGTTAAACACTCTTTTGCCAAATCTGCTTTTGCTTTTTCTGGCCCCTTTCTCTAGAACTCTCTACCTACTTCTCTGACCACTTCTCCATCACTTACGAAGTTCAGAGCGGATCTCAAGACCCATCTGTTTTCAAAATTCATTGAGGAGCGCTGTTGAACATCGCGGAAATAGCGCTTTACAAGCTAATTGATTGATTGATTATTCATTCATACAATGATGCCAGTAACACACACACACACACACACACACACACACACACACACACACACACACAGACACACTCAACCACATACTTGGTATGTATTTAAATTCAAAATCAGAGCAGTGTGGATGATCGTAACATGGACATTCTCCAAAACACGGTACCCAGAACTCAAAGGGAGGTCCATTCGTTAGGGTATCGCGGTCATGGGCACTGACTTCTGACACCGGACGATTAGGGAATTGGTTCTCGTAAAGGATAATAGGGATGTGCTGGTTGGCTAACGTTGGCGCGTTATCGTTGACGTCTAGGAGGTTTATAATTAGTGTGCCAGTACCCGTTAGCCGAGGCGTTCCTATGAATAAATTAATAAATTAATAAATGAATGAATGAATGAATGAATGAATCATTCATTCATTCAATCAATCAACCTTCGTCGATTGCTAATATATGGAGCCTATGAGACGGTACGGCCTCTCTGTCTAAAATTCCGCCCACACTGACCACGCCCTCTTCATTAATTTTGAATAAACCATCCGGATTGGTTGCCGGATCCAGAGAATAGCTGTGATTGGTCAACGAGAAATTAAATGCGTGGGTGGAATAATTAAATGATCATTATAATTGAATAATAAATGTTGGCAGATATGTTAATAGGTCATTTAATCTATAATTGATAGAGTGATTAAGTATGCAATTAGATAAATAAATGAATGAATGAATGAATGAATAAACGAACCTGAATAGTTTATTAATCCCAGAATCTGAATCAAATGCCTTGAATGTGTGGAGTTTCGTGCCAATTGTTATATTCTCATACACAACCACCTTTTTTCGAAGAACAATATATAATAATTTAAAGTGAAATAATATCTATTCATTCATTCGTTCGTTCGTTCGTTCATTCATCTACAGATCCAATTCATTCATATTTTTATTCATTCATCTTTCATTCATTCTTTCATTCATTTATTTTCTCGTCAATCAATCAACCAATTTACGGAAAATACGTTCATAAACGAATGGAATGAGCATCCGTTTACTATTCATTCATTCATTCGTTCATTCATTCATTCATTCACACACTCATTCATCCATTCGTGCATTTGTTTTTTTCATCTATCTATCCATCCATTTTTCATTAATTCATTCATTCACGAATTCATTCATTCATACATGCATGAATTCACTCATTCATTCATTTTCCTTCACTCAATCCACGGAATGAACGAACGTTTTTATTGTTAGGCACGAATACAGGCGGATTGTCGTTGAAGTCGGTGATGGTGATTTCAAGATGGCAGCTGTCCACGTGAGTGGGGTCCACATCTTGAACTCTGATCGTCAGGTTGAAGATTGGAGAACGCTGGGACTCGAAGTCGATTGGCTGGTTGATTGGTTGGTTTGATTTGATTGGCTGTGGTTGGTTGGTTTGATTTGATTGGCTGTGATTGGTTGGTTAGTTTCATAGGCGCCGACTCCATGGGGCTTGGAAGGGCTCGATCCCCCAAATATTTAGTCCCTCAGGCCCGCACAAATCTGAGCCCCCAATATTTTGTTATAAAAATTGAATATTTTTTTAGATAAAATTTTAAATAATTTCTAAACTTTCCATACCATTTTCATATTTAGTTCCAGAGATTTGTATAACGTAATTTAAGCAAATTAATTTAAATAATTTATAAACTTTCCATAAAATTTTCATATTTAGTTCTAGAGATTTGTATACAGTAATTCAAGCAAAAAAGACACAAAATTCAATGACTTTTGGCATAAAGTAACTTTGAGAGCGGCAAAAAATAATATAGAAGCCCCATCATTGCCGCGCGTAAGACGTGCCCCCACCCAAAAAAGGGGACAACTCCTTCTTTTAAAATACTCCTTCTAATCCGAAGAAGTATTTTAAAAAATTTTACCTTCAAGCCATGGATGCTGTACTTGAATGTCTGAAAACAAGATTCAAGTCCGAAGGATTTCTTATTGCCCAAAACGTTGAAATCTCAGTTGTAGGTGATTTAAATTTGCAGTATTGGGATATAAAAGTTTCAAAGCTTTTAGAATATTACTGAAATGATACAATTGAAGATCGTCTTATTTTACACCTGAAAATATTTCGAGACCTCATCTGCCATGACTGTAGTAATTCAAAACAGGAAATCCAAAGCATGCGAGATGTTATTGCTGATCTGATTAAATGCAAATCTAGGCAGAAAATATTTTCCAAAATTTTAAAAGTTTTAATGCTTTTTTTGACATCACCTGTAACAACTTGCACAGCAGAGAGAAGTTTCTCAGCCTTAAGATGTCTAAAAACGTGACTGGCGAAGCTGAACCACGCAGAGCGATGCTACATAGCTACCGAACCTCAAATGAGTCAATTGACATTAAACAATTAAGCAATGATTTTTTAAACGAAATGATTTACGATTAAAAACATTTGCATTGTTTTAATTTTGTTTCAATGTTTTATTTCATTACTTCCTATATATATATATAGGAAGTAATGAAATAAGTAATGATATAATATATCAATATATATATATATATATATATATATATATATATATATATATTGATATATTATACCATATATATATATATATATATATATATATATATATATATATATATATATATATGGTATAATATATCAATAGATGGCCCTGGCCTGGGCTCCCCAATATTTTGGACAAGTGGGCGCCTCTGGTTGGTTTGATTTGATTGGCTAGGTGATTGGTTTGATTTGATTGGCTGGTTGATTGGTTTGATTTGATTGGCTGGTTGGTTGGTTTGATTTGATTGGCTGGTTGGTTGGTTTGATTTGATTGGCTTACTGATTGCCTGATTAGTTGAATGAATGAATAATTGAATGTGCAGAGAATAAACAAAATAGAGAGGAAGAAATAGTCGAATGATTGAATAGTTAACTGATTGGACGAATGAAAAAATAGATAAATAAATGAATGAACGAAAGAATAAAATAAACAAATGAACAATCGATTGATTAATTAATTATTATAACCCCAACCCTAACTACCGGGGGTGGTTAGGGTTGGGGTTATAATAATCATCATGACCAACTTTAAAAATCCTAACAACACCAGTATCATTCATGAAGTCGTCGCTGACGATGTAGAAGTGTTGCCGGTTCGACTCGGCCAGGGAAAAGGTCAACTTGGCATTGAAGCCAACGTCGTTGTCAACGGCCACGACCCTAGCAACGGCCTCGCCCTTAGCAACGCTTTCGGAAATTTTTGTAGCGTAAACTTTTTGGGTGAATCTCGGCGAGTGATCGTTGATATCGTCGATGTATATGGTTACTGTGGCGCTGGCTGTGATTGGATGGTTGGATTGTGTTTTGTGTGATGCGATTGGCTGGCTGACTGGGTAGTTTGGGGTTGGTGTGATGTGATTGGCTGGCTGACTGGTTAGTTTGGGATTGGATTGTGGTTGGTGTGATGTGATTGGCTTGACTGGTTAGTTTGGGGTTGGATTGTGGTTGGTGTGCTGTGATTGGTCGGTTGATTTGATTTGCTATGTTGTGATTTGTTATTTGTTTGATTGGTCGTTGTTTGATTGGTTGATCGGAACAATTTTTGATCAGATGGTCAGTTGAAATAAATTTTTTGGTAAGTTTGTCATTCATTTTCTTCTCTTTCACTCACTCACTCACTCACTCACTCACTCACTCACTCACTCACTCACTCACTCACTCACTCACTCACTCACTCACTCACAGGACATGGGCGGACTGCCCTTGTCTCTGGCCAGCACGGTGACGTAATAGACATCCTGGACCTCCCTATCGAGAGCATTGCTCTGCACCGTGGTCACCAACCCCATCAAGGGATCGACTTGGAAAATGGGTTGATCTACTTTCGAGAGGTGACCCGATTTCAGAAAGTAGGTCACCGACCCATTTACGCCGTTATCTGGGTCACTGGCTATGACTGTCAGTATTGAGATTCCTTTAAGGGTTGGTGAAGGGTTCGTTTATTTTAATTAATTAATTGGGGCGGTTTTTTTGGGGGGAAAAATAATTATTTTAATAATTATCATCATCTTCTTTTTCATTACCATCATCACCTTGAGTTACTAATCATAATTAACTGAAATATTAATTAGAATCACCCGATAATTATTTCTAAATTAATGAATATGAATTGAAACTAAGCAATCGTGTCATCCCCGTTAATACCTCCTCCCGACCTACCAGATCTGGAGTGCTCCAGTACTCGACCGGTTAGTCGGTTAGAATCGAATCTCGGAGCGTTATCGTTGATATCGCGCGGTAGAACTCGGACCTCGGCGAAGCCGGTTAGCGATGACGACGGCGACAGAAGCGACGATTGCAAAAAATGATGATGTGGCAGACGATGGTGATGGTGGTCATTATTATTATCATCATTATTATTATTATTAATATCATTATTATTGTTATTATTATGACGATTTTTGGCGCGCCTATGTGTTGATAATGATGACGACGACGACGATGATGATATTGAAGTGGACGAAATATTAAACAGTCCACCACCACCACCACCACCATCATCATCATCCTCTCCACCATCATCATCATCATCCTCTCCACCACCACCATCATCTCCACCACCATCATCAACATCATCATTATTAATATTATAACCATCACCATTATTATTATTATTATTATTATTGTTGTTGTTGTTGTCAACTTCATCATATGAAAGAACGTTGAAGTTGAAGACAGCCCTGGTCTCTCGGTCCAGAGACCTCGTCAGGTAGATTTCCCCCGTGTGGCTGTTTATGATGAAGATTCCTGGGTGGTGGTGGTGATGATGATGGTGGTGGTGATGATGAGGGTGGTATTGGTGAAGATGCTGGTGACGATTGTAATGAAAATGATAAAGGTGATAATAATACTTTATATATATGCCGGGAAGAGCTTTTCTGTAGTAATAACGTTGTTAATAATGTTTGGTCAAAAATGTCAAATATTAAAAAGACTTTGATATTTAACCTTAATAAACTTCATCAAGATGATAAAAATCTCGCTAGAAAAATTGAGAAACTCAACTACAAATTGAATAACGCTCCGAAAACCCAGTGATCTTTATAAATAACTATATATAAATATGTATATATATATATATATACATATTAACAACTGTATATAACACTATATAACTATATATAACCAATAACAATATAATCAACTTCATTCGGAATCGAAATATGGCCTTATTTGCAGCATGAACTCGGAGAATAAGTTTATTTTAAATTCTAATAAACCAAACGTTTTGCGAAAAAACTTTAGTGAGAAAAATCTTAAAAACGAACTACAAACATATTAACGCCAAACATTCGGTAGAATTTATAGAATATTGTAAAAAATTATGGTCTATTACGAACATAATATATATATATATATAAATAAATATATATATATATAATATCCCTAATTAAAATTATTATTTAAAATAAATAATTAATCCAACCTTCATCTGGGAACTGTCCGGTGAGGCTGTATCTTATGCTCCCCTTTCGGTCTGTGTCAGGATCCGTGGCCCTCACCTAATTAATTAATCATAATTATAATAGTTAATTATAATAATGATTGATGATAATAATTAATAATAATTATGATAATAGCAATAGTAGTATTAATAATAGCAATAATTATAGGAATCGAAATATAAATTGTAGAGATAGAAATATAATTATAAAAATGGCCATTATCTTTTATTACTTCATTCATTTTTTCGTTTCTTCATTCATTTATTCCTTCATTCGCACATTTATACCTTCGTTCACACATTCATTCACACATTCATTCACACATTCATTCATTCATTCATTCATTCATTCATTCATCTATTCACTCACTCACTCATTCAACCAACCAACCGACCGACCAACCAACCAACCAACTAACTAACCAACCAACCAGCCAACCAGCCAACCAACCGACCAACCAACCAACCAACCAGCCAGCCAGCCAACCAACCAACCAACCAACCAACCAACCAACCAACCAACCAACCAACCGTAAGCAAGTATTTGGGGTTATTTTTAGACACACCCCCTTCTTCTTCCATGACGTCAGTGACGTTATAAATAGCATTGTCGAATTTTGGCGGGTTATCATTCACGTCTGTGACGTAGATGGTGATTGTAGTGATGGCCTCGAATTTATCGTCAAAGGCTCGGTATTTCAGTCGGTACGCCTGCGAGTATCGAGTATTCATTCATTCATTCATTCTTCAATTTTATTCGTTTATTCGCTCATCTTTTTTCTCTCACACAATTCATTCGTTCGTCTTCCTCCTCACATTCATTCATTAATTCATTCATTTGTTCATTCATTAATTCATTCAATCATTCATTCATTCATTTGTTCATTCATTAATTCATTCATTCATTCGTTCGTTTATTTGTTCGTTCATTCATCCGACTATCCGTCAATTAAACATGCAACCATCTATTAATTCATTCATTCATCATCCATCAATCTATCCATCCATTCATCCATCCATCCACCAGACGCACCCTAGGTCCTTCCTCATAATCTAGGATCCTGCGAACTTTGACCTCTCCCATTTCCGGGACGACCTCGAAGGAGTTCCCGTGATTCCCATCAACGATTGAATAGGTCAGGTGACTGTCTGGAGGAATGAATGAGTGAGTGAGAGAGTGAGTGAATGGATGAGTGAGGGAGTGAATGAGTGAATGAATGAGTGAGTGAGAGATTGAGTGAATGAATGAATGCATGGATGTATGTGTGGTATGTATACACGCATGTGTAAATGCTTGAGTGATTGAATGGTAAAATGAATAAATGAATGAATGAATGAATGAATGAATGAATGAATGAATGAATGAATGAATGAACGACAAATAAGTTGATAAACAAATGAACGATTTTTCAAACGAACAACTAAACAACAATTAAACAAACGAACAAATGAAATTTTACATCAAGCGCCTCATAAACCCTGCAAAAAATCAAAAAATCACAAACAAACAGCACATCCCTACTCCTACCTTCATCGTCATCATCAGCAGTGGTTGTTATGACGACGGTGCCTATGTCAGCATTTTCCGGAATCCTAACTATCAGTTTCTCGTCTCTAAACTTCGGCGCTATATCATTTGTGTCCGTTATTTTTACATGGACTTCCGAAGAACCTGAGATGAATGCGTGAGTAAATGAATGAATAAATGAAGGAATAAATAAATGAATGAATGAATGAATGATGTTAATGGGTGGATGAATGAATGAATGAATATGAATGAATGGACAAATGAATGAACGAATTTTATTTAAGAAACAAAGTTATGATTGCACATAGGAATGCACAATAAACCGATATTGGCGGTTCCGGGTAGATGATGATTCGGTCGGTCCGACGGAGCGCCATCTACAGCTTCTATCGATAAATAGTAATGATCTTTCGTTTCTCGGTCAAATACGGCGTTGGACCGAATCGTACCGGTATCCTTATCGATTCGAAACTTATCGCTGTCCTCGCTACCGGTTTTGAATCGGTATAAAATCTGGCGTGGTTTTTTTTTGAAAGTTGAGTTTTACTTTTAAACGTAATTAATGAGTGGATGGATTGATAGATAAATGAGTAGACGAATGAATGAGTGAATGAATGAATGAATGAGTGAATGAATGATTGAATTAAAAAAAGAATGAATGAATGAACAGTTCAACCTTACTTTTTTATACTTCGGATGTTCGTCTCTATCGATTGCGGTTACCGACAAAATCTCGAAACCCGGTTCTAAATTTTCAGCAATACTCGACTCGTACCGACCGTTTATGTCCAGCCCTACAAACTGAGGAATCTCATCATTGGCGTCCAACACGTCTAGGAAGACTCGGGTCTCGTTATAGAAGTTACTGAAATCACGGTTCTGCATATTATTATATTTTAAAATTATGCCGTAATAATAATTATTATAAAGTTTTTATATGTTATATATTATTATAAATTATTATTATGACGATAATTATTTTAAATTAAATTATATTTTAAAATTATGCCGTGATAATAATTATTATAAAGTAATAATAATAATAATTATTATTATTATGGCGATAATAATTTTAAATTATATTATAAATTTTAAAATTATGCCGTAATAATTATTATTATAAAGTAATAATAATAATTATTTATGTTATGACGATAATAATTACTATTATTATGACGATAATAATACTAATTATATTCATATTATTCATAACCCCGAGAAGAAGTTAAAAAATTTGTGATGATAATAATAATAATAACACTGATAAAAATACATTGCTGAGAATAACAACCATATAGTTAAGTTATTATTATCATTGTTATTATTATTCAGGTCTCTTTAAAACATTCAATCTTCGGCTAATGAATATTATTTAGACTGATTAATTTTGCAATAACCTCATAAACTCTGCCATATCATAGTCATACACTATCTATTGCGACAAAAAAGCGAAATGAATCAACTTTAAAACTAAGTAACTCTGGTCGTACTCTCTCGATTCGAATGATGACCTCTTAGATTAAGACTCTATTTATTGCATTTGGCAGTTTATTTTATTATTTTATTTTATTTGTACTATCTTTTTCATTGTTTTTATTGCTGAATGAAAGATTGTTTACATTATTATTATTATTATTATTATTATTATTATTATTATTATTATTTTTATTATTATGTGGCAAGTGTTCGTCAGTCTTCGAGCAGACATCGCCATTCTACAAAACCGAAGATTTGAGATAAATTTCACGAGGCAAATTTAATCCAATCCAGAGACTTCAAACAAACCAAGTAGA